ATTTAAAAAAAAAATGTACATCACAGGGAGGAAAACCTAAAGATTATATTAAAATGCCAAGGGAAATTCCAATTCAGAGGGACTGGTATTTCAGAAGACACATGTCTGCTTATGATACAGCATAGCATCTTCTGCTCTTTATCTGACTACCAATTTACAGAACATATAAGTATTCCTCAGAAAATAGTCTGCAGATCCCCAGGGATCCTCAAAACCATCTCCTGGGGGTTCATGTAACCAGAACTACCTCTACAATAATGCAATTATCCTGTATCTTTCCCCTCCTCTCACACACATTCCGTATGAGATGTGTGATGTAACAGGGTGAATTCAGAAACAAACATGAGAATTAATTTCCCATTAATGCATTTAAAAGATCTGCAGGGGCTGAGGTAGCTCAGTGGTAGAGTGCTCACTCATTTACAATTAAAAGGCCTGAACTCTACCCACAGCATCAGTGTACAGCCACCTCTCTTCCTAATATCCTTTTAGGAACTATACTTTCAACAAAACATTTTATGTTGCAAGAAATCAAATTAGTAATTTTAAATACTTAACAAATGTAGTAAATGCAAATATACATCCTACTTTTTAAAAAGATTAAGAAAAAAAGCTAACATGTTTTAGGTGTTAGCAAAGATGATCTGCTAACGCTGAGAGATGACTACATATTTATATGTATTTGACATGTTTCAAGATTTGTTTTTCTTGATCACCCTACCAACTGATAATTTAATTTTTCCATCCAAAAAAATCCCTGAAAAGGGATGTGGGGGAAAAAAATCTATGAAAATGAGGAAAAAGTTAGAATGCTACAATTCAACAATTATCTTCAAAGATAGATACAATTTGTATTGGTTTGAGAACATCAATTCTTTTTTTGTTGTTCTGTTTGAAACATGGTTTCTCTAAGTAGCCCTGGCTGTCCTGGCCCTGTAGATCAGACTGGCCTCAAACTCACCCTGCTTCCCCAGTGCTAGGAGTAGAGGCAAGTACCACCACAACCTGGCCCATCAATTCTTTTTAACTATGAAAACTTCAGTGCAAACTTGTTCTTTTCTAACTCCTAATAGAAATGAGTAACAGTATTGTACAATGTAGAAAACTGTCAATTTATAACAATCTCTTCAAGGACATATATATATATATATATATATATATATATATATATATATATATATTTTCAAAGCAAGTGTTCTAAAACCAAACAAATTAGAGCAGGTAATATGCAGTACTTATTTTATGTAACATTATATTTCTTACTAATCTAAAGTATTATCAGTGAATACAAACTCAACAATACTTAAGAGCTTTCATCAAAAGGCAATCAGTTGAGCTAAAACATCTAAACACTGAAATAAGAAATAAGCAGAAGAAATTATCTGCTTCATACATATCACACCACCACACCCCACCTACAACCAACATAAAGTGATAGTTTCCTAATACATGATCATGGTGTGAGAGGGATAAAGATCCCAAAGCTGATGAGCAAAAAACTGCAGCACAGTGGACGGGGACTCAGTTGAGGCCCTATAAATCACCTGTTATCCAGACCACTGTGAGATCTGTGCAGAGGCAAAAGCTGACCACCACCAGCACCATCTTCACAGCCATTCAGAACATCTATCTACACGTCACTTTCTTTTCTAAGTAGAAAGCATTTCATCACATAAGGGCATTCCTGAGCTCTACTCCTAACACTCTTACCACCTGCCCGCACTCCTGCACCACTGTCTTTTTTATAAATTGAACATTACCTAGCACAGATCTCATCTCTCATCCCTTCCTTTTCTGCCTGTGGTAATCATTATCTTAGGAATATAGTGCTCAACCACTGCTTTTCACATAGCTTTTGTTCCACTATGTAGTGGTTATCACATTCTCCTCACACATAGCTTTTGTTTTATTGAGGTTGTTGTTTTGAGGCAAGATCTCTCTATATAGCCCAGGCCAGAGTTGAACTTTCATTTGCCTGCCTCAGCCTCCAAGTTGGAATTATAGGTATCACCAGGCCTAGAGCTCTGCATGCATTTGTTAACTGTAAGTTGACTTTTCTAATGACAAATTGGTCTGTACCCTAACTGTTTTACTCAAGATCTAGTTGTTCCTTAATTCAGTTATGCTGCTGTTTCCGCATAGCTTTATCAGGAGTGCCCAACCTTTTGACACTGTATTGGTTGCATGTGTTTGTAAATGCTTTCCTGCCTGTCCATTGCCCCCCATAAGTCTATCACTGACTTCTCAAAATTCACAGCTACTTTCAAAGTTTCCACTATTAGTGTTTCTTAAGGCTTTGCTTTTATTTTTTTTTTTTTTTTTTTTTTTTTTTTGAGACAGGGTCCCTCTGAATAACCCTAGCTATCCTGGAACTCTGTATGTAAACCAGGCTGGTCTCAAACTCACGGAGATCCTCTGCCTCCCAAGTGTTGGGATTAAAGGTGTGGGCCACCATTGATGAGCTTTCTCCAAGATCTGAGCAGAAACCCTCACTGGAAGCCAATCCAAATAATCAGACTGAAAACCAGAACAGTAGCTCAAATTCTTTTAAAAGTTGCTCTCTTCTTAACCACACTTAATCACAGCAAACACACAAGACAATCTGACCTCCCCAAGTACCCATGTGCAAGTACACACAGAAACACAGATAGCACACGTTGTAGAATGGGTGTGGGTTCACTAGGGTCTGTGGAAAGAAGACACAGAGACACCTTGAGGATGATTTTAGCCTTTCCAGATGCAGGGGACTCTGCCTCTCCCAGACGAAGACACTCTGCCTTAGCCCAGGGTTTTTTGTTTGTTTGTTTGGTTTTTGTTTTTTAATTGTTATCCAATTATTCCTTTAGCAAGTCCATTTCCATACCCCCAAACATCTTGTCTAAGTATCTCAAAGGGACAATGCCAAATGCAAATTTTCCATCACAGAATAGCATGGTTTGCCAGATTTTTCCCAGCCAAGTTTTGTACAGGCTTAGGCTTTGCACCTCTGGAAAACTCTCTGACATGATTTACATATTTCAAACAGAAGGCATTGAAGACAAAGGACAGATTAAGGCTAGGTGCCAACATTCCAGATTCAAGCAGATACAGCTCTGAGGGGTTCTCCACAGTTAAGTGTAAGAAGAAAGCGGGCTGAAGAGATGGCTAACAAGTTTAGAGCACTTGCTGCTCTTGCAGAGGACCTGGGTTCAGTTCCCAATACCAACATCTAACCATATCTACTTGTTAACTACAGTTCCAGGGAACCCAACACCCTCTTTGGCATCTGTGGGTGCCAGGCATAGCAAGAAGAGAGCATACATAACTAAGGCAAACAATCATGCACATAAAACTAACTTTATTGACGTAATGAAGAAAAGTTACCTGGGGTGCTGGCACATGCCTTTAATCCCAGCACCTGGAGGCAGAGGCAGGCTGATCTCTGAGTTTGAGACCAGCCTGGTTTACAGATTCCAAGACAGCCAGAGATACACAGAAAAACCTTGTCTGGAAAAACTCACTAACAAGCCAAAAAAAAAAAAAAAAATCTATGCAGATGTCTCAATAAAGAAAAGTGCCACTCCACTCAAGAATTTAAGAATTATGGTACAACTCAGATTTCAACCGGGTAGTGGTGGCACCTTTAATTCCAGCACTCTGAGGCAGAGGCAGAAGCAGATAGATCTCCCAGACAGAGTTCGAGGCCAGCCTGGTCTACAGAGCAAGTGAGTGCCAAGAGTATGTAGCCAAAGCTACATACACAGAGAAATCCTGTTTCAAAAAGCAAATAAGAAAAAACAAAACATAAAAAAAGAAAGAAAAGAAAAAAGATAGGACTCACTATGTACTATGTAGCCCTGGATGACTGAAAGTTGCTTATGTAGTAGAGCAGGATGACCTGGAACTTCCCCTGCTTTCCCACGTGCTAAGATTAAAGGTATGTGGCACCATTTTATTCTCAGTGGATTTAACACAAAACAGGTCTTTACAGCTACCCAGCAGGAATGAATTTAATTTTTGCGTGACAGTGAGCGAAGACATCTGTTCAAAATATCACTTGGCTTTGGGTATCACTATTAAATATTTTGTAAAATCAAGACGCTGAACTAAAGAGTCATAAGGTTACTGTCATTTTCAAGTAAGGCATCTACAATCCAAAAGCTAAAACAAATTGGCCAGCCGAGATTCTCTTTCCTACTAAGTAAAGGCTCTTTACTTCGCATCACGAGTCTTTAAACCCGCGGTTCAAAAATTACCATACCTGTATTAGTCAGACATGAGCAAATTGCTCTACCATAGAAGAGTACAACTCCCAACCCTACCTTTTTTTCCCCCTTTCAACTTAATGAATTTTTCCTTCTATTATCCATGAAAAACTACAGGGTGAGGAAAACACCGACTTGCGTGAGTTTTGGGCTCTAACCGGGTGCTGGGCCCAAACCTCTCGATACTGATCGAGTGTTTGGTTGTGGGACTTTCTGATAATTTACACTGCTAGTCCGTCTCTGCGGACCAAGCACCGGTCCTGCAGGAGGCGTGGTGAACGAAGAGCGAGACTCACTAATTCCCCGGGTCAGCAGACCCGGGGAAAGTACTCGCGAGCCGCGGCGGAGACTCCGAAGAGCGCGGGTGGGAAGCGCTGGGCTAGGGCTTTAAAAGCCGAGGACCAGGGAGTCTTGAGTGGTTCGCGGAGCGCCAGGGGCAAGAGGCCGGGAGCGCGGGAAAGGACGCGGGGTCCGGGAAGCTGGGGTACGGCGCGAGATGCTAGGAGCCCGGGGTGGCCAGCGGGGAGCCTGGACAGGGCGCGGAACCAGGGAACCCCGGACTGGATCACCGGGAACCTGGGCTAGGTCGCAGGGAGGCGGCGCGGGGAACCAGGGAGCCCGCACCGAACTGCCAGTAAAAACTAGGGAGCCTGGGCGGAACTCAGGAAGCCGGCGCGGGGAGTCCGGGTGGGAAGCTCGGAACCTGGGGAAAGATGGATCCGGGAAGCCCGGGGCAGGGCGCGCCCGGCCGCTCACCTTTGCGCAGCTCCCGCTCCCACACGGTGACGATGGGCCGCGAGTGTTTGCGATGGTGGATGAGCCACAGGGACAGGGTCTGCACGCTCTGCTGCGAGTTGCTCAACTCGGACAGCTTCTTCTCCAGCGCCGCCTCAGAGAAGGCGGACATCCCTCCGGAACCACGTTCGCGCCGTCCCACGCCGTGCAGAAGAGTGGAGGAGAGTGTCGCCGCCCTCGTCGCCGCCTCGCCCCCACACCCCACCCTTCCCCACGCCCTCACCACCGCCACCCCCGAGTCCGAGGCCGGCCGCAAACTAGAAAGATGGCGCCCGGCCGGCAGTGACGTCATGCGTCGGCCCCGCCCCTCGCGCTGCTCACCCTGGGAAAGGAGACGCCACCCGGAGGCGGGAGTGGAAGAGAGGAACCGAGCGGAAGAGACAGGAACTAAACGAGGGAGGGGAAGGGGGCGGGGCGGGGGCGGGCCTCATGGGGCGTGGCCTCATGGGGCGTGGCCTGGCCTCCTGGGCGTGGCCGGCTTTCTGAGTCCTTGTTTCTAGGGGAAATTGCTCCAGTACGTTAACAGTGGTGACAGAGGTCTGAGCCGGTTTGTACATTGATACAAATTGGTGCAGCCACTTTGGAGGACAATTTGCATGATCGATTACATTAAATATCGCATAATCCTGATGGTAAGTAACAACAGGCAAGAGTTGGGGGTCAGCGTCTGAAAACAAACAGGGCCAAGGTTGTAGCTCAGCGGAACACTGCTCGTGTAGGGTACATGAGGCTTGGGCTCAAACCTCAGTTCGGTAATTAAATTGGCGAACCTACAGATGTGGACTGCAGCTCAGTTGGTACAGTTCTTGCCTAGCAACCTAGCATGCAGGAAGTTCTTCCCGGCATAGCACTAAAAAACCTGGCCTGCAGAAATCCCAGCACTTGGAAAGTGGGAGCAGAAGAATCAGAAATTCAAGCTCAGCCTCTGCTACCTGTAAATTTGAGACCAGCTTGGGCTAGTGAGACCATGTCTCAAAAAAAAAGGAGGGGGGGGGAGGCGAGGGACTGAAAAGATGGCTCAGTTATTAAGACTGTTTATTGCTCTTGCAGAGGACCTGAGTTCAGTTCCCAGCACCCACATAGAGCAAGTCACAACTGTTGTTCTTTTGATACAACTAATGTCTATAAAACACAAACACGAGACTCAGTGTCCACGCGGAGTTTATTGAGAGAGGGGAAAGAGGGGGGTAGCTGGTGATCAACCCAACTCCAGGTAATCCAGCACCCTTTCCTAGCTGCCTAGGTACCTATATACATGCATACATGCTCAACACATAAAAATAAAATAAATACTTAAAAAAAATCAAAGCAAGAACCAGGGGGTGGACAAAGGTTACGCTGTTTTTCTTTCCAAACTCAGCTGTTGCCAACTGAGTGTGGTTATTACTATTCAAGACTGTGTACACCAGTCATCATTATTCTGAGGACTGCCTAGTCCAAGCCCATCCTCAGTTCTTGCTTTTCCTGCTCCCCCAGGTGTGTCTTGAATTCCAGAAGCCCAGGAACTGAAAGGTGCTTTGTGTACTCAATGCTAACTGCCCATCTTCTACAAGTTATTCCTGTTCCCAGAGAAGAGTGTACAAAAGGAGGCCACGATGTGCCGCCAGAAGCAGAGGGTCATGACCTTCCTGACTTCTTTGTTGTACTCCGCACACATGTAAGAGCACCCAGACTCTGAAGGCGATGACTTCATGAGTTATAGTCACCAAGCTGTTCACTGTGTGATTGTGTGTGAGGGGGGTGTTGTTTTGTTTTTGGTGGGAGTTTTTGAGAGAGGGTTTCTGTGTGTAATAGCCCAGGCTGTCTTGGAATTCACTTTGTAGACCATGCTGGCCACAAACTCCCAAGTGCTGGGATTAAAGGCCTGTGTTACCATGCCTGGCCCGTGTGTGTGTGTGTGTGTGTGTGTGTGTGTGTGTGTGTGTGTGTGTTTTGAGTGTGTGTGTGTGTTGAGTGTGTGTGTGTGTGCTTTGTGTATGTTGTATTTTTGGGTGTTATATGTATGCTGTGTGGGGTATGTATGTAACCTGTTCACATGCATGCAGATGGAATTCATGCTTCTGCAGAACACTCTGAAGACGGAAGGAATGAGTGTCACAGTTTTCTTACCCTCAGAAAGCTGGCTAACATTTCTGTGCAACATATTCAGCCTTAGCAACAAAGTTTATTATCAGCTGTTTTATATCAGATTTAAGACCAATAATTCCATTGAAAAAGGAAACACGATTCACTGAAAATGTGACGGCTATAGAAAAAAGTGAAGATTACAGAAAAAAATACATCCTCAGCCAGGTGTTGGTAGCACACACCTTTAATCCCAGTACTGGGGAGGCAGAGGCAGGCAGATCTCTGTGAGTTCAAGGCCAGACTGGTCTACAGCGCTAGTTCCAGGACAACATCCAAGGCAATACAGAGAAGCCCTGTCTCCAAAACAATAACAAAACAAAACAAAACAAAAAAAAAATCCTTGGTACTTTTCAGTGGCTGCTGCCAACAACAGAGCAGCCAGAGCAACAGCGATCTGCACCAGGAACCAGATATTCATGCTGTTCTGTTCCTTACAACAGTTGAAATTTTAAGAAGTGAGCACATAACAACAGGTACATACAATTTGAAAACAAAAATCACAATTTAACATGTTTTTATTGTTTTCTTTTTTGAGATAAGAGCTCATTATGTATCCCTGGCTGTCCTGAAACATGCTACCTAGACCAGACTAGCTTTGAATTCATAAAGATCCATCTGTCTCTGCCTTCTGGGTGCTAGATCAAAGGTGTGAACCACTGTTTCTGGTTATTCGATTGCCACAGAATGGATGGAGGGGCCAAGAATGTGGATAGAGAAGTCACCCAGGAAGGAGTAGGAATCTGAGGCCTTAGGACAAGTGGAGAGATGATTCTCTTGCTGGGTTTCTGGCCAAAAAGGAAAGTCAGCTAGTTGCTTCTCTGATTCTCTGATCTAATAGGTTTTCACCCCAACATCTGACTAATGAAGACCCAAGTCTTCATTAGTAAATACAAAAATAGAAACAGTTAAAACCTACAAAAATAGAAACTTAGTTAAAACCTACATTTGGTGTATGAACCAGTGCCAGCAGGGTACAGACTTCAGGACCACAGGGTGCAGATGGTAGTTAAAGTTATCAGTAGGTTCTGCTGTGGCTGCCAGGCTGACAGAAAAAAAAAAAAAAGCAAACCCCCCACACCCAGTTTTTTAAGTATCTATTTTATATGAATTGAGCAAACAACATATTCCACAGTTGAATTTGGAAAGAATCTAAGTTGGATCCTTAACCTGATTTTATAGTTTCATCCTTACCACACTAATAGGTCTATTCATTACTTACATGGTATTATTAATTTAAGTGCATCTGTATATAGATGTGTGTAGTGATAGATCTGCCTCCACACCTGTAGCACTGACCACGCCTTTTTGGCGTGGTCACAGGTTCAGACATGGACATGACCTGTTAAAAGGAAAGGTTTGTTTATTTTGGTTTTTGTTTATTTGTTAGTTTTTTGAGACCGTTTCTCTGTGTAACAGCATTGGCTATCCTGGAACTAGCTTTGTAAACCAGTCTGGCCTCAGACTCACAGAGATCTGCCTGCCTCTGCCTCTGCCTCCCCAGTGCTGGGATTAAAGATGTGCACCACCACTGGCCAACTGCAGACATGGTTTTAAACCAACTGAAATTCTTTATTAGCTGGCCAGATACTACTCTGGGTAGTTCAGGATCCCAGTGTAACCTGGACTGAACCTTTCATAGGGTAAGCTTTTAAACCCAAAAGCCATATCCTGGGTTGACATACTTTGATTAACAAGAGCAGTTAGCTACAGGCAGAACTAAAAAAGCCAAGAAAGCAACCTTAGTACATTTAAGGACTCTCCTAGATCTGTGGATTTTGATGGATTAGATCTTTGTTTTCATTTTGGCAGATGATGTGCTGGGCTTTATGGCCCAAATGACACTTCCATCATGAAGTTAGTTGTGCTCAGGCCTTGGGGCCTGATGCAGTGGGATAGGCCTGTATTCCAAGCATTTGGGTTGCTGGAGTAAAGATCATGAATGTGAATTTGGTTTTGGTTTTCTTTCTTTCTTTTCTTTCCTTTTTGTTTTTTGTTTGTTTCTCCGTGAAACAGTCCTTACTGTCTTGAAGCTCACTTTTAAAGACCAGGTTGGCCTCAAACTCATAGAGATCTGCCTGTCTTCCTGAGTGCCGAGATTAAAAGGCATGTGCCACTACCACCCAGCTGAGGATCATGAATTTTAGAACACTCTGGGCCATATAATAAATGATAAGGCAAGCTAAACTACAAAGTAAGACCCTATCTCAGAGAAAAATAAAAACAAAACAAAAACATAAGCAGAGAGTAGTGATGCACCCCTTTAATCCCTTTGGAGGCAAAGGCAAGTGGATCTCTGTGAGTTCAAGGCAAGCAGGAATACACAGTGAGATCTTTTGTTTTGTTTTTCAAGACAGGGTTTCTCTGTGTAGCTTTGTAGACCAGGCTGGCCTCAAACTCACAGAGGTCTGCCTGACTCTGCCTACCGAGCGCTGGAATTAAAGGTGTGCACCATCACCTCCCAGCTTTGTTTCAAAACAAAACAAAAAACCATAATTCTAACTAAAAGGAGGCATATACAAAAGACTGTATATTTTGTGATTCCATTTATATGAAATATCCAGAATAAGCTAAGCCAGAAATAGAAAGAGGTTGCCATAGGGACTGGGGGAATGGGTGACTATTTTATGGAAGCTTCTTTTTGGAGTGATGAAAATATCCTAAAACTAGATAGAGTTGATGACTGCATTGGAGTATTGATGTGCTAAACAGCAGTGGCTTATATGCGTTAATTCAAAAATTAAAAATTAAAGTAAAATGAGTAATTCCCCATTATGTGAATTTTGCCTCAGTACACAATTATCAATTATGCTTATTTATTTATTGGGTGCTTGGTTTTGAACCCAGGGCATCATGCATGCTACATATAGACCACTGTATTATATCTCCAGCCGCATTCCTCAAAGTTTAATTAACCCCAAATTTTGAGGGATCTTTATTTAGTAATAAAATGGAAGAGAGGTATGTCTTAGGGTTTCTATTGCTTTGAAGAGACACCATGACCATGGCAACTCTTATAAAGGAGCATTTAATTGGGGCTGGCTTACAGTTCAGAGGTTTCGTCCATTGTTGCTATGGCAGGAAGCTTGGCGGCACACGGGGAAGACATGGTGCTTGCTGGAGAAGGAGCTAAGAGTTCTACATTCGGATTAGCAGGCAGCAGTAAGAAAGAGAGCCATTGGG